TATTCTATATTGATTAGCTCTGACAGCCTTAGAAAGGTTTCTGATCTGGATTTCTCCTGACTTCTTCAGCAGTCACCTTCATCTTCCCATGCATGATGACCTAAAATAGAACCATATATCCCAAACTGCCTTGCCTGAATATGGTTTTGTTCCATAATAATAGTGAGGGTTCTTGACACGCATATCTTGAGGAAAACCGAGCAGAAAATGGGAAACCAGACGCATTGAATGGAATTTCCAAGTGAAGGGGAGTTGTAAATGCTCGCTAGGTCTGTGCTTTGCTCAGCATTTAGAAGACCTGTGAGGCATTCAGCTGACAGATGATGCTGGCACTGAAGGGCAGGTTTGTGCTTTAGAGTTAAATCTGCAGTTAATTTTACTGCCATGTGATTAAAGCTTTATGGCATTGTCCAAACCTTACAGTGTGTTTATCATGTTGTGGTGATATTACAATGACTTAAGGCAGGTTGTATTTCCATATTCCCATCTTATCCTGTGTACCTCATTTGGTAATCCTTTGTAACTGTTCAAGGGCCTTCAAGTTTTAAATCTCCCCAGTTTCAAAGTAACTGTAAGAGCATTTACAAATAGAAAACTATTATTGCTTTATCATTTGACTTGTGAGTTCTTGGAAGATCTTGCTGTGGTACAACACGGTGCCAGCATCTCCCATCTTAACTGCAGGCAGGACCACACCAGTTCTGTGCAATATTCCTGTACCACACGTACAAGTTACAGCAAAACATAGGTCATTGTGTCGAGCAAATGAGAACCTGATTTGGAGTATTTCATCTGATAAATCTGTTGATCTCCCTCTATGTTCTTTTTATGACAAAGATCATTTTGTGTTATCATCTGTGCTTGAAGAGCCTGAAAGTAGTCTTGTAACTACAGGATGTAGTGGACGCAAACTTTGGTTAACCTTCCTGGTTTTCAGTGTTTGCAATCAAACAGAAGACCAGGAGATATCTGGGGATGACCAAAGTTTATCCAGGCTTTTTATAGCTCCCTGAGAACAGGTAAAAATATCCATGATTTTCCATTTTATGTTTATTTTATATTATTTATTTTTAGTTATTCTCCATATGCACCTCCCTTTGCTTACCTCAATTATAAGAACCAGCATTTTTGGGGGGGTTGCTTGTGTTCTAAGAAGAGTGGTAGTTTAGAATACCTTATGAGCCCAAGAGTCTTATTTGACTTTGTGACCTGGGTGCAATTTAAAGTGAATGATGATATTCTGTGACTCCTGTGATTTTGGCTCATGGTCTTTAGATGCTTTCATTCCTGCACCTGTCATCCATTAGGAGACCTCCTTCTGTGATCTTTCATCATTCAGAATATATGATGATTTTCTTAAACGCTTTGGCTAATTGGGAATGACTCTTGCTTTAAAATATATGGCAGTATTTGTAAATACCAGAAGTTGGGCAAGCTTTAAATAAATACATGCAATTTGACAGGAATTGTTAGAAAGTGTAAAGCCACTATAAATTTAAATGACTAACATAAGGACTCTCTTGTGTACAGGACAGACGAAGCACATTGTGTTCTTCGGATAAGCTTGTTGGGTCAAACAGTGTCAAATGCTCTTCGTTAGGAGGGAGAGAGCTGTTGGTGTCAATCTTTGTGCTTCAACATGCTACTTGTCTTTACACTTCAGTGACAAATTGCATTGATTATAGTCTTGAACAGTTTGGTGAAAAGAGCATCATTTAAATTTAATATAAATTAATCTCTTCTAATGTCAGATCCCAATTACCGTGCATACTGCTCTGCATAGCAGCATAGAATCCCAGACTGGTTTGGGTTGGAAAGGACCTTAAGATCACCCAGCTCCAACCCCTGCCACAGCAGCTTGCTCCAAGCCCCTGTGTCCAACCTGGCCTTGAACACTGCCAGGGATGGGGCAGCCACAGCTTCTCTGGGCACCCTGTGCCAGTGTCTCACCACCCTCATTACATCCAGTATAAACCTACCCACTTTTAGTTTAAAGCAATTGCCCCTTATCCTGTCACTACAAACCTTGGTAAAACATACGGAGATGGAAATGGGTTTGTGTCCTTTAAAATCGATGCAGTTATGAGAATACCCGAGTCCCGCAGATGTTTTTATGAACTGAAGTAGCTGCACATGCCCTCTCCTTATCTTTCTTGTCAGAAGCCAAGCTCAGTGGTTGCTGTTTGCATACTTTCTAATACTTTAACTTCAATTTCCGTGTTCACATTACAAGGAAGTTCCTTTAGAACCATGAGTAGCTGGTTAGAAACCCAGAAATAAATAGAAAGGTAGAGTTTTGTTTGGAGTAGTGATACCTCTCACAGTGTGAACTCACCCATTGCTTAGAAATAACCCCATGAAGTGGCCAACCACAACATCTGTCATAGGTAGGAAACCCTGAGTCAAACACTGACTTGCATTCCTTAAATCTTATATGGTCTTAGGCCAGTGTTTAAACCTCTAATGGGCTATATTACTTTGTAGGTATGACCTTTTCAAATACCGCAGGACACCAGCATAGATGAAAATGCCACCATTCCCTGGTGGATTTTCCTTGAAGATTTTTCTTGTTAGCTGTAAGGTATAAGATCTCACTTAAACTTCATGAATGTTCACACCGACCTAAAATAGAACAGTGAAGAGGATCATGTAGCTCCTAAGAGCTGTTCTAAGAGTATAAATTCAATCCACCAAGCACAAATGCAGCAGACTTTCTCCAAGGTGGTTTTTGATCTAGTAATTATTATGGTCTTGCTTGTGAAAGAGTATTTATGGGCTGTTAAATGCTTGTATCATTTGGCTGCCATACAGCCAAACTGATTCTGCATGCTAAAAAGTCCTTCCTTGAATAACCTTCCTGGTTGAAGTGCTGTTCTTCCATTAGATGTTCCTTCAGCCCCCATGCACATGGAGTTCCCTTTGAGAAGTCATAAACAGATTTATCACTGCTGTCTTCTTTATAGGAAGAGTCATTAACTTGATTCCTAATGAGGCCAAAGCATGCAGCATGTTTTCAACCGGTTGAACCAATACTGAAAGCTTCACAAGTAACAAGAAGCTGAAGGCTGAAACCACAGGGCAAAAATAATGTTATTGGAGAAAAAATAGCTGACATTACAAAAGAGCTTATTAGGAAAAATGGCTCAAGTGGTGATTTGTTGAGGTGAAATGTCTGGAATTTATGGAATTAGGAAGTGAAACTGGTAAAGTGAAAAAAACTGCTAAAAACTGATGAGATCCCAAAGCTATTTGCTGCACTATAGCTGATGGCCACAGGAGGTTTATCTCCTGTGACTCCAGCTATGTGAAGAGTCTTTCATTAAAACACATGGTGCTTTCTAGCAGCAATGGAGTAAATCCATTTTGTGGGCTGCCAGTAATGAAGTCCAGTGATGACTCCATAAGAGGAAAAGGCTTACAAGCTTGGGTGATAAATAGTGATAAATGTGCAGTTTTAGCAGATGTAATTTGATTTTTTTGAACATTTATTTTGATACTTTTTGATATTTTGATATTTAAGATACATGTCTTATTGGGGTATTGGTTTGGACTGTCGCTTGGCAGCATAGGTGACCATATATGCTATACATGAGATGATATTCAGGGGAAGGTACCAAAATGCAAACCAAATCAGCATCCTGAAAGCTCTCCAGGATAACCCTGTCACTCCAGGCCTGGTCAGCAAAGCCTGGGTGTCCTGTAAATGCAGCTGGGATAGCTTGAGGGTGCTTCCTGTTTACAAGGTAGTAACCTTGTTCTGGGCTAAATAAACACTTCGGCGTTTCAGTTTATGTAGCATGTGTTACAGTTGTTAACAAGAGGCACCCTTGAGCTATATAGTACCTTTATACTGAGATTTCCCATCATCAGATCTTTTACTGTCGTTTACAGAGTTACACAAAGAAGTGAGATGGCCTCATAGGTGAGGAGCATGGACCTGAGCACAGATTGAGCCGTGTCCAAATAGCTGAAGGCATTTTGGTACCTGATTTCATGAGGAGCTCAATGCACTCATGCTGTTTTCTAGCCTTTCTGTGCTGTTTAGGAGAAGGAATGTGAGGAGGGGAGCAGCATATCCCTGCTTTCAAGGGCTAAAAGAAGATAAATGTGGTAAAAAATGAGGGGATGTCTCAGCTTCAGTTGGCAGAGCTGAGGTACTTGGATGGCTGGTTTCATTTTACTGTGAGATCTGACAAGTTTGCCAGAAGGTGGTGTCATTCAAAATGCAACACAAAGTCGTTTAAGACATGCCAGAGGATGAGCTGGTGTTGAGTTGATCATGAAGATCTCTTGTCTGGTTCTTGCCCAGGTCAGCACCTGATGCAAGCTTTGCATGGACCCATAGCACAGACTGTGTTTATGAGCACTGAGCTCCAGGAGGCAGGGAACTCCATGTGCAAGGGGACTAACATCTAATTGAGGAACAGCACTTCAACCAGGAAGAACTTTAAATCTGCTTTCAAAACTTACATTCATTTTCAAACCAACTTCTGTCTTCTGATTGGAGCTGCTTGGCCTCCAGAGGCCAAAGGCTGGAATGGGATGCGGACACAGAAGAGCCAAGCAGCTAGGAGGGGTTGGAATAGTGTTTCCAAAGGCTGATTCTGTAGTCAGGGGAAATGGAAGTGCTAAATCTGTAGCCTTTTATGTCATTAGGATGAACTGTCATGAGTTAAGTCCTTTTCATAGCAGGGCAGCTCTGTCTTTGGCATCTGGCCGCTGCTGGATATGAAAGCCTTCAAGACAGCAGCTAACAAATCATCCTGGTAGTTCAATGGGGTAGTAAGAGAGACTTACTGGGTTTGAAGCTCAAGTGATCACATCTGAAACACTTCCTGCATAGCTAAAACATCTCCTCAGAGCCATGACACGGTCACTTTGAGCTGGGTACTGCACAAGCAAATCGGTTGCTCTGTAGTCTGGTGGTGCATGCCTGGGACAGATCCTAGCAAGTGCTGTACCTGGCTTTCTTTGCACTGCTTTACTTGTTACTGTTGAGTTCTTTCATCTCCTGTCTGCCCAACATTCTTAAACAAGGCATGAAAATGAGACATCTTCCCCTTTTCCTTGGGCATCATTTTTCCAGCATGATGCTGATCAAATGCTCTTCATTCTGAAACATGCTGAGAGCTGCATGAGGTGGTAGGCATTAAAGCTCAGGACACCAGGGAAATGGCAAGGCTTTGGCTGTCTGGAAAATACCAACCCTCTTCTAGAGGAGCCCACTAACGCTGGTGACTGTGCTGAGCCTAAACAAAACCCGTGCTGCTTTCCCTCTCCCTTCCTCCTTCCTTGCACTCTTAAGTCAAGTAATTGGTAATAGTTTAAAACACGTTTTTAGCCAAAACTTTTAAGAGCTGCAAACCGAGTTACTGGCAGGTTTTTAACCTCTCTTCTTGCAATGGAAAGCAGCTGATGCATGTTTGGAAATCTCCTTGCAGGCTGCCAGAACCTGGGACTCAATTAATAAAACAAATGTGCCTATGAACTGCAGCAGAGCCCTTTTGACCTTCATAAAATCCTAAATCTTTAGTGAATCTGTTTCAAGAGCTCGAATCTACTTGCAGCTTATATTTGCACAGTCTTGCTAGATAGCTTATTGCCTTGCCATGCCACTAAACGGATGACCCTTGCAGGCACACAGCCTTTCCAGATGACTGGCAATTCAGAAAGCCTCACCAGAGAGAGGGTTACGTTTCTGTGCTCTGTTGCTTGATACAACTTCTGTCTGACTAATTGTCACTTAGGACAGAGCGAGCTGCTCCTATTCCTTGCACAGTGCAAACACTGGTGATGCGGAAGGGTTTGCCATTTCTGTGCTGCCCTGTGTGCAGGATCAGCTTCCTTCTCATTCCCTTTCATGCGGAAGAGAGAGCAGCATCCCTCCTCATGCAGGCTGGCAGAGTGGCAGGAGGCATCTGGCACTCTTTTAAGGTCGGTATGTTTGAGCCCCAGGTTTGGAGGCTCCTCTGGAGCAGGGTGACCCCAATATTTTAAGGCAGTATGGGAATATTCCTTGCCAGCTGTGTGATGTTGGTGAGTTTGAAGCCCAGTCTCCAAACAATTGCTCTTTGGCTCATGGAGAGACGGGTGTTTAACCATGGAGCTGACTAATGCTGGCTCGTGCTTGTGTTTCTATGCCATCGGTCTTGTGGCTGCACTAAAAAGCACACTGCAGGCATTCAAATAGGGTTTCTTGGCATTTTAAGTGGGTACAGAAAAGCTACTGGTTGGAAAGGCACCTCCAAGGTTTTGACTCATGAATGTGCTTTTGTTATTTGCCAAAAGGAGATAAAAGATCAAAAGCAAGATACAGGTCTTGTAAGGGATCCTGCCAGCCTCCTTCGCTCTTTAAAACCTCATTCTGGCCAACAGTGTTCAGCAAAGAAAAGATGAGGAACATCACTGATGTTGTTCTTTGCTCTGAACTCAAGTCCTGAAGTCATGTCAGTGCAAAGTGCAGAGGAAGGGAGGTTGGTGAAGCTGTTTCTCGAGATCCAGGTGAGCCTTCAGCACAAGAGGGTCCAGAGGTTTGTGCATCCCCAGCTGCAGCTCCACTTTTCTCTCCTTCCATGGACCAGAGCAATGACTGCAGTTTCCCTAGAGACAATGCTGCCGGTTCTCAAGGAGACAGGTAGCTCTGAAGGGGAACACTGATGTGTTTGCTCCGCAGCCTCTTCAGATGGAAGGTTTGGCTGAACTTCTGGAAGACAACTTAATAACTGAGCAGTCAGCATCAACGCAGACTATTAAAACCTGCATTGAGGAGTATCCAGTCTCTCAAGGACTTTAATACATGCAAAGGCATCCCTCCCCTGGAGAGCCAGTAGGCTGCAACAGAAAATTAAGTGTAACACTACTGCTGTATGCACTTCCCTTTCTGCTCATGGTAAGTGCTCTCCTTGTAAATCTTCCACCCTTTTATGCAAGTACATGACATGGTTCAGCTTGCCAAGGATACTTATAGTCTTGAATATGTCAGAACAGTCAGATAATTCACTGGTCTTAGTACATAGTTTTCTCATTAACCTATTATCTTGGTTAAAGCTGCTTTTCCAAACATGAATTAGCTTTTGTAGTTGGATCATAAGAACATTTTAATGCCTTGTCAGAGGGGAAGGAAGGTGGGGATTGAAGGAGGAACCTAAATGAGTTGCAGTACTGCGAGTTGTTTCACTGTTTTGATTTAAATCTCCTTCTTTGTTTCATTTTCTGCATGGATTGAGTTGGTAGTGCAGCCCTCATAGTTTTACATTGGCCTGGGGAGGTCAGTTGAGTTCAGCTTGGATTTAGTCATCCAGGCTGGGTAAAACCAACCTCTTGCAACCTCCCTCCCTCCTTTTGCTAAGGAAGAAGATGCTGAGCAGTTTGCCATGGGTGTTTCTCCATTGCGTTCTTCCTGCTCATGATATTGATTCAGCCAGGAGGCTGCATTTGTGCCCCCATGAATGACATACCAGGCAAAAGAAACTTCTTCCTTGGCTATTACTCATTCCTCACTACTTCTTCTGGCCAGATTGCAAGGGGTGAACTCAAGAATTGCTCGGTGTGGCTGGTAAGGATGGAGCAAGGGTAGCAGTTACTGGCTGAGGGCAGCAAACACCCCCAGGAGAGCTTCTGAAAGGGTCTTCTCTGAGGCTTTCCAGGTGTGGCTGGGGAAAGGCAATGAATGTGCTCCTCATCCTCCTCACCTGAGCACCTAAAGGTATACCTGGTTTTGGGAGAGAAATGAAGCCATTCAAGCTGGCAAGTAATACAAGGACCCCATGGGACCTGCAGGAATCTGGCTCTGGCTCTGCAGGATTTTCTCAGGTCACTGTAAAACCTGTATAAGCAGCAATGATGGGCTCAGCACCCCATAAAGACAAGGGAATAAGTGCCCAGCTCAGAGCCTGTGAAGAGTTTGCTGCTTTCTGAACAAAGTGGGGCAAAATGAAAAAATGGGAAGTTTCTGAAGCATCAAAGTTCTGTTTTGATGCTTTTAATTTTACTGAAAGAACAGTGTGATTTGGAGACGGGAAGAGAGGGGTTTGGGAGGCAACACATGAAGACAAACTCACTCTTTCAGCTTGTTTCCTAGGAAAATGGGAGGTTTGGTTATCCAGTGCATATAGAAGATCATACTGTAGTTCAGACCAGACCAGACCTCGTATGTGTGTACAGACCCCACTCATTCCGTATTCTCCTCCTCAATATATTTTGACTGAGAACAGCAAATTCAGCTGCATTTTGACATGACAGGAGTGGTTTCAAAGACACCAGATTTTATAAAAAGAAGCGTTTTATAGAACATATTTTATTACTTTTTAAAATTTAAAACATCGTCGAGGCAAAGTTAATTTCCATGCAAGTTCTGAGCCAAAAATGCTTCAGCCAAATCTCCATGGGGACTTCCCTGGGGATTTAGGAACATTCGGGTGCCACCTCCCCCTGTAAGAAGCGACTGCCGTATGCAAATAGACGGGTGCCATGAGCAATGCTGCCCTCTCGTGCTGACATTAGGAGCCCATCCCCGTGCCAGCGCGTTCCCAGCACTACTCGCTGCAGGGAATCGTATCCATGTGGATTAAGACCTGCTGCCGGTGTTGCCATCTCCATGTAGGATAGTTTTTGCTTTAAATACGCTGTTAAATAACGGCAGAAGTGGGCAGAGCGGGATGCTGGATGCTCATTGCAAGCGTTGCGGAGTTCAGTTCATCCTAGTCCCAGCTCATTCTTGCTCGAGGGAAATCTCAGCTTCAAAACAGGGACAACAACCATTATTGGTTCTCTTTTAGCTCCTTAGCTGCTTTAGCTGTAAGTATGTTGGATCTCATGACTAGATTTACAGCAGCAGGCACAATGCATGGCAATTCTGACTGGGGACTCCTTGCACTCCTGTAATTAAAACAGAAATACAGTGCAATGGATTGATTATACTGCCTGGTTGAGGTGGTTAAGGAGTGGAGTATAAGAGAGCTGCTTTTCAGTTACAGCAATTCAAATCAGTGCTACCATAGGTGCCTGCTTGGAAACACTCTGAGCAGCTCACTGTTTTATTACAACAAGTTGTGGTTTCCAGCCGTCCTGAGCTCTTCTTGCAAACAGGTTTGCAATACTTCATGTATGTCAATGGGGCTGAGAATTAGTGAAATAAAGTGATATTTTACAAACCAAACAACTGCTTAAAGAACCCCCTGAACTCTCTATTTACATAAAGAAAAAGCAAAGAGTCAAGTTTGATGCATAAGCTGACAATAGTAAGGAAATTCAGACATGAGCAGGGAAGTGTTCCATATGTTCTCCAATACCTAGGCACAACTGGGTGCCTCTTTAATGATGAGCTGAACGCTCCCTGTTGTTCCTAGGTACTGCAGAACATATGGCGTGTTTTCCCCCTTAACTGTGAGTTTCCCTGCCTTTGTCAGTAGGTGTCTTAACCGGGTTGTATTTTAATACAGTGTTTGTGCCTCTGAGCAGAGTCCAAATTTGATTTTAGGCAAATAGGAGGGTAGATACAGCTGCTGATTATCTCATATTCTTCTTGAAACTCTATTTCAATACATAATCTATAGCTATACAGACACACCTTGTAATTGTTTATAAGGGCCCTCTGAGAGCTTAGAAATCATTTTGCTGCACTCCAAACTTAGCATGGATGATAAATGACCATTTAGTTGCCAATATAGCACAATATTTCAATTTCCTGCCTTCACAGAGGTATTCCAAAGGTTGACTGGAGTTCATACTCACAGTATGTGTTGTCTAGAACTCTATGATCTCTTGCTGGCAAACTTCAACCAAACCCTTTTCAATTAACTAAACACATTCCTTGTGGAAGGCAGCCAACCTAGTGCTGGACAAATAGAGTTTCAGGGGGGTTTTGCAATAACCTCTCCTTGCTCCTGACTCTGGGTAAGTGTAGCCAGAGCGAGTGTATTAGTTGGTGTGTAAACTAGGTGACTGAGAAACAGATTAATGTAAATGTAATGAGTGATTAATGTAATGAACTGAATTTTGCCCCATGACAGTGATGTAACTCCAGTGTTGTTTCCTTCAGTTGGGCTGGCATCCTGATGGACATGCTGTAACAGCAAATAAAGCAGTGATTAAACTGATGGACCCTTCATTAGGGACTGTAGTGACAGGACAAGGGGTAACGGGTTAAAACTTAAACAGGGGAAGTTTAGATTGGATATAAGGAAGAAGTTCTTTACTGTGAGGGTGGTGAGGCACTGGAATGGGTTGCCCAAGGAAGTTGTGAATGCTCCATCCCTGGCAGTGTTCAAGACCAGGTTGGACAGAGCCTTGGGTGCCATGGTTTAGTGTGAGGTGTCCCTGCCCATGGCAGGGGGTTGGAACTGGATGATCTTAAGGTCCTTTCCAACCCTAACTATTCTACGATTCTATAAACAGAGCAGAGTTATGGGGGTATTTAACTAGACCAGATCAGAGTCTGAGGTTTGGTTCTGCTCATATTTGGTAATATCCATGTCAGGGGTTTGTTTTAGTAACTACTGCTGGAAATGTAGGCAGTAAAGGGGGCTGAGGAATTCCTGTTCTCTTACGAAAAGGTGGGAGAAAATCCTTCCTAGAGCTTTTTAGATAAAAGACATGGCCTCTGGCACTGGAATTCCCCAAGAATTGTCTTGAAGAGGTATTCTGCATAAATAAATCCTGGATGTGTGCTTGTCCTATGCATGTCCTCTTGCGTAGGACATCTGTCATTGACCGCTCTCGGAGACAAGTAACTGGGACCTTTAGTCTGAGCTGCTGCAATGTTCATGTGCTCAGTATTTGCTGCGGTGGTAACAAGGAGTATCTGGTGAAACAGAGTTTGCTCTAGAGACACAGACAGAACTCCAGGTTTCTTCATGCAAGCCCTTATTACATTCATTTGCATCAGTATGAAAATGTCAGCCCAAACAGCTCCTTGTTCAGACAGCACCTCTGTCTGAATATTTATCAGTGGAAAAGGATAAGAGGATATTAAATGTCATGTACTGATGGAGGACACGTCTCTGTCTCCTAAATAAACTGTTCATCACTTCTGCTCTTTTAGTGTCATAACCTGGCCCTACCATGGCTGAGAGACGCAGAGTCAGATGATTGATCTCTTCAAACTGGAGCTGGACAGGTAACCTGCAGCCATCTGCAGAGGGTTACCAAGCAGTCAGGTTTTCTGTCCTCAATGCAAATAGGTCTTGTTGTCTTTATCCTAAGGCAGGTTGTCATTATCTATTAATAGACAGTATGGTTCCTTTTTCTTGTGTGCACATGCGTGCACATGGAAAGAAATAGTTTTCATGGAAGGCAACCATTTGGGGCATGAAACATAGCAACTGCTTAACTGTGTGTAGCAACCCCATGCAACCCCTTGTAGAATTATACCCCATCCCAACGGATTAACAATGTCCTGACTTAGCTGGTTTATCCCAACCAACCACAATGACCCTCCTGCATCTTGGGCCTGAGGATGTTATCCGTGCTGGCTGCTGCAGGATCCAATATGATGCAGCATGTGCTGCCATCATCTTCTTAGCCTGCAGGCACCACGGGCTCCCCTCAGCTAGTGACCACTATGTGTTCTACTCCCTTCTTTCTTGTTTCTTTGAGGGCACGTGCCTTTTGAAAAGCAGAAATCACCACAGAACTTAGCTGTGTGCTGCAGCTGGACACACCATGAGTCAGTCCTTTAGTGTGTGCAGCAATCAGTATGTGATACACACATGCACACCCCAAAAAGGCCCTTGTTTTGCCCATGGAATGATAATTTGCCTGTTTTCAGCTGGGGTCTGTATGAGCACTCTAATGAGCCATGGCCACCTCCAATTTTGTGACTGGGTCAGCAAATATATATTGCATAAAGGAAGTTACCTGGAACTGACTGGGGTTTGTTGTAGGACCCTCATTCCTGTTTTGTTGGGGGTTGTTTTTGTGGTTCTTCTAAAAGAACCTTCTTGTTTAGCTCAAAAATGGAGGAGAAAAGAGAAACGTTTGCTCATTGCTGTGCAGCGGGGCAGCTGGTTCCCAAACCAGTGAGCTGTGTCTTTAAGACCCAGTAATCCAGTAAATGCTGGGCTCTCCTTGGATAATGCAACGGGTAATTACTGAAAAGACCACACAAATGACTGAAGCCCAGAGGAGTGCGTTCTGTGCTGCAGGTTGGATGCAGCTGGGGACAGGGTGCTTGGCTGCAGCCCAGCTAAATTAAAGTGAGGAAGGCTCCACGTCACCTGGCTCATTTAGAAGTGATGCTTCACGCTGTTCATAGTCTGGAGTGGTCACGAGGCATTCCCAGGGATTTCAGGTCTCCTCATATACTCAGAGGTCACTCTGGGCTGTGTAAGACGTCAAGAGGCTGTTGGTGCAGCAGGTAAGATGTAGGGAAGAGTGTCTCAATGCAGCACTTTAGTTACTTTCCATATGGGCTCACTGTAAAATCACAACTTGTGATCAGTGTCCAGCTACACCATCCCAGGAACCACTTCCCTGTTCCAGCTGGCTCCAGGGATCTCCTGGGTTTTAATTTGCTCATTTTTCCCACTCCTTGATTCTATCCTATTTCTCCTAAACTCCTTCACTCCAGGCGACTTGTATCCTCCATGCTGATAAGAACTAGCTTATTTTCTCAGCAGTCACCTTATTCACTGTTACTACCCAATGAAATCTGTGTATCCGTGTTTCCAGTTACTGATTTTTTCCTTCCTTAGCTATTTTCCCCTTACCTTTCACCCCTCAGCCTAACTCATTTCTCAGTCATCACAACTTTGGATCATATCTGTGTGATGGGGACAACCTTCCATGGGTTGCATTCCTTCCCATTGCCTTCCCTTAAGATAAGTTTTCACTTCTTCTTTTGAATACTACCTGTTTGGCTTAAATAACCCCTTGAACCTTACTGTTTTCCCATGCTAATTTTATTTTCCTTGCCTTCCCCATCCCTTTGAAAAGCTGTGCATTCCTTCTGGGACTCTATTATGGTTGCTTAAGTAGCCTTCATGCTGAGTTGAAGGATTTTAATTTCCTTACTTCTGACTTCAGGGCCTTTTTGACTAGCTTCCTCATTTTTTTCTTTCCTCTTTAAATCCCTTTTCTAAAGCTTAATGTCACAGTGCAAGGTTTTGTTGCATTCCCTCCCACAAGGACACTGAACTTAATTACACTATGCCTCTTTGTACTTCGTGATTCAGCTATAGTTAGTTCTTCAACTCACTTCTGCATGGCATTTTCACCGCTAACAGAGTACCTTGTTGGGCTTTTTTAAGTAAGAAAGATAACTTTCAACTGTTATCTTGGTTTGCAATCCAGTTGGGGCATTTCTACAAAGAACCCTACAGCCCACTGAATGTTGTCCTCATCTAGTACACCTCTCTAGAACTGACTACTTTGTCATGGCCAGGGTTGCTGCAGGAGGGCTGATACTGCAGGTTGTGATCTGGGGGTTTGGCTTCATAGAGAAGAGCAAGGACTTAGTATTACTAAGTAGAATGGCTATGGAGAAGACTCTCTTTTTCCTCAGTTCTATATCTTAGTGGTAGCTGTAGGTACAGATCTTTCCCATGGATCTCTTCACTCCTGGAGGTAGGACATCTGCATTTGTTCTGTGGGCTTATTGGGGTTTAAAGCCATTCCCATTACCCTAAGGGTAAAGTCTGGTATCATGGGAATGTCTGCCCTGCCACAGTGTGAATGTGAGACTTACACGACTAACTTCTCACTTGAAGTCCTACACAGCCAGTCCCAAACCTTCTCCTCTGTGCTTGTGTCACAATCAGAGATGGGCAGAGTACCCAAGGCAATGGGTCCTAAATATTTATCTTGCACATCTCAGAAACATCCTTCCATCCTGTCTCATCAGTCTGCCTCACTGACGTCCCTGGCTTGTTGAGCAGACTTTTCTATTCTAGCTACCCTTCCCTCTGTACCCCCAGCAAAGTGCCCCCTCTGTTTTCATTTGGGATGTCCAATCTCTCCTGGAGTCCAGCTAAATGGCAGTGTAAGGAAGAGCCATTGCTGGCCTTTGTTTGACCGCTGTGCTCTGTTTTATTGACCACCTTTTGTGATGCTGAGTTGCGTTGCTGGAATGTCCCCCCAAGAGGGCTGCCTGCCTATTGCAGGGCTCAGCTGTGATTTTTGCCCTCTCCTTTACAACCAGATGTCTTGTTGCCTACACGTAACTGACAGTCTGTCTCTGTCTGCCTTGCATGCCCAGTTTTTGCCTGTTTAGAAGTTGGAATAACACCCCTGTACCTTGTCAGTTTTCTTATAGCAAAGTTCTGACCCTATTTAGAATAGAATAGAATCATAGAATAATTAGAGTTGGAAAGGACCTTAAGATCATCTAGCTCCAACCCCCTGCCATGGGCAGGGACACCTCACACTAAAGCTTTTTCCTACCTTAGACATCACCCAATATGTGATATGGGGACACCTTCTTTATGCAAAGTCCATTACCTTCATACAACTTACCTCATCTTCCTCTTCTCTAGCTGGCCTTAGGAGGACTTTTGAGAAGCCTGTTGAGGTGTCATCTTCCCATTTACAACACCAATAACTCTCAGAGATCTTTGTACAATCATTTTAGCAAATAGCTTTTTGAAGAGGAAGGTCAATCTAAAGCAATTGCAATATACCGCAGGCTTTAATGAAGCTTTGTCCTTTTTCAGGTTGGAAACTAGGCAGAGTTGCCTCATAGCTCTGGCAGAGGAATGAAAGCCAGTAAAAAAATGTTGGTGTAAAAGGTGACTCAATGGTCCCACCACAGGTACTTTGAAAGCAACCTCAGGTTGCTGAATTACCTCACTACAATGATTTTGTACAACTGATAGTGAGCATGAGGAAAATTACCTTAGCACGTCTTAGCATCTTTAAGATTTGACTCTGGGATGTGGAGCGTGGTCAAAGTACCCATGTTGTAATTTCATCTTCGTTCTAAAGAATCCGCTGCCACAAGGAAATTTTCTGTAGGGAAAAACACAAGTTTGGGGATGAGTGGCAGGAACAGAAAGTTTTGTTTAGTGTGTGAGTTTTGGAAAACATTCTTTTGGTAAAGACTTAAGGTTTGCAAGGTAATAATAGTCATAATTTGGTAGTGAGAGTGGGGAAAGCTTTAAAAATAGAAGACGAATGGGGCTTAGAATCACATTTGACCCCATTTTCATGCCACTTGTCTTCCAGAATGTTCAAGATAGCAGCAAACACTTCCAAACTAGTTCAACACACCAGACGTTACCTGCTTTTGGAAGGGGGAAAAAATGCACTTAGCAGGGGCAAACCTTTATTTAATTAGCCACAGTGTAAAGGTTTCTTGTCTTCCTTTGCAGTTACACGGCCATGAGAGACTGTGGAGTACCTGAAGGGTAACTCCTACTGGGACTAATTCAGTCCAGACAGCTCCAAGTATGTTCATTAAGCTCTGGCTGGGTTTCACACAGGTGGGGAAGGTTAGAAGGCAACAGATAGAGAATGGTCCTGATTGTGTTAAGCATAAAACACCATCTGTTTCACAAGTAAGGAGGGAACAGAATCAGCACGTCTTGAGGGATCCTACCCCGCTGCTACAAGTCAGCTCTCCTTCTTTATTTATTTAGTTTTTATTTTCTTGCTCCGTTTTTCAGGCTCCAGTGTAAAAAGGGAGAATGTTGAAACCGTTGGCTCATAAATCAGGGGACTGCTGAAAAGATGCTGAAGTTTAAACTACCACAGGGCTTTCGCCCCTGTAACACGTCAGGAAAAGAGAGAGTTTTAAAGAAGTGTTATGGCTGGCATGGGAGAGGATAGAATGAGGTTGAATTCCCAAGGTTTTAAAGTAGAGCAGCGTAGGCTTAAAAATCTACTGGTGTAACAGTAAAAATGCTCATCCTTGACTATGGCTTTTTCTTCACTTTCTAGTGACCAAGTGAAACAAAAGCGTGTTTGGAATGGCACGGTAAATGTGTCAACATATTAACTGCTTTATTGTTGAATTTGAACTCTTTCTTGAGGGACAAACCTTATGAGCAGATGGAAGTGGCTGAGTGCAGCTGTGGCTGAGTGCTACAGAGCTTTGCAGACATTTTGAGCCTCGATTGTGGCCACATGGGGGAAAGAGGCAACTTTCCTCCTTGCTCCGATTGAGAAAAGCCATGGGTGAGA